GTGTGTGTGCGTGTGTGTAGGTATATGTATATGTGTACAGGTGTGCGTGTGCATGTGTGTGGGCATGTGTACAGGTAGGTGTGCGTGTGTGTAGGTGTATGTATATGTGTACAGGTGGATGTGTGCATGTGTGTGCATGTGTACAGATAGGGGTGTGTGTGTGCGTGTGTGTAGGTATATGTATATGTGTACAGGTGTGCGTGTGCATGTGTGTGTGCATGTGTACAGGTACAAGTGTGTGTGTGCGTGTATGGAGGTATATGTATATGTGTACAGGTGGATGTGTGCATGTGTGTGCATGTGTACAGATAGGGGTGTGTGTGTGCGTGTGTGTAGGTATATGTATATGTGTACAGGTGTGTGTGTGTGCATGTGTGTGGGCATGTGTACAGGTAGGTGTGTGTGAGTGTGCACACATGTAGGGAGGTGTGTGTGAATGTGTACAGGTAGAAATATGTGTGTGCGTGTGTACAGATAGGTGTGTGTGAATGTGTGCAGGTAGGTGTGTATGTGAATGTGTACAGATGGGGAGTGTGTGTGCGTGCACATGTGTATAGGTAGGTGTATGTATGCACGTGTGCACACAAGGCCATCTCCCTGGGCTCAGGCCGAGCTGGGGTGCAGGGACACAGCTCTGACCATCCCCTGTGGGCTGGGCCTCACCTTGCACTGGCACTGGCCATTCGTCTTGTTGCAGTCGGGATCGAAGCCTTTGCTGACAGCACAGAGGCACGGCCCGCAGACAGGGTTCCCCCACCAGCCTTTGGGGCATGGAAGGTCGATTCTGTTGGGGAAAAAAGATGGCAGAAAGAAGGCGTACGTAACTGTGCTTTCTGGAACGAGAGGAAGGCTGTTGGAGGCCTGGGCAGCACAGAGAGGGTTGCTCAGGAGCCTTGGCAGAGCTCCTGGCATCTCCCTCCCTGTCACATGGCCTCAGTTTCCCCCAATGGCTCCCAACCTTACCCTCCCACCCCCTACCAGGACCCTTATAATTTTTTTTTTCCTTTTTTTTTGTCTTTTTTCGTGACCGGTAACGGGATCGCAACTCTCGGTGTCGCGCCCATACCGCGACCGGCAACGGGATCGCAACCCTCGGTGTCACGCCCGCACCGCGCTCAACCAGTGAGCAGACCGGTCTCTATATGGGATCCGACCCCTTGGCGGGAGCGCTGCCACACTCCCAAGCGCCACACTCTACCGAGTGCGCCACCGGGCCGGCCCGGACCCTTAGAATTTTGTGTCCTACTCCCAGATTTCGGGGTCACACATCCAGAAGTGTTCTATCTACAACACTGTTATTGTAAAAATATTTGTTTCTNATATGTATATGTGTACAGGTGTGCGTGTGCATGTGTGTGGGCATGTGTACAGGTAGGTGTGTGTGTGTGCGTGTGTGTAGGTATATGTATATGTGTACAGGTGGATGTGTGCATGTGTGTGCATGTGTACAGATAGGGGTGTGTGTGTGCGTGTGTGTAGGTATATGTATATGTGTACAGGTGTGTGTGTGTGAATGTGTACAGGTAGAAGTATGTGTGTGCGTGTGTACAGATAGGTGTGTGTGAATGTGTGCAGGTAGGTGTGTATGTGAATGTGTACAGATGGGGAGTGTGTGTGCATGCACATGTGTATAGGTAGGTGTATGTATACACGTGTGCACACAAGGCCATCTCCCTGGGCTCAGGCCGAGCTGGGGTGCAGGGACACAGC